TATGGACGCCTGGGGTTCTGCTGTTTTTGGATACTTTATGCACCTAAAGACCCTTCCCAATGATCGGTGACCGCGCAGTCACATACACAACTACAGAGCACCCACCTTGCTGGTAGTTTTGGGAGACTTTGCCGTGGACGCTCGTGGCGACTTCTTGCCCGGAGATTTGCGGACTGTGAGGCGCGGGGACTTGCTGGTGCCGCTGGTGGATCCTCCTCGCCCCTGGGGGGTGTTTTTTGGGGTGGATTTTTTGTTCAGACCCCTCTTGAGTAGACTAGAGCCCAGTTTCTTGGGGGTATTGAGGATGCTGAAGGCCATGGTGGACTGACGCCGGGAGGGCGGTGCCTGCTGGGAGAGAGCAGAGGAGGTGAGCATTAGATACGGGAAAGGGTTGCAAACTACACACACCTGCCGGGTGAACGCCATGCGCATTGAACTACCCCATGCTCCTCCATGTGATCGGCATTTGCCCAGCTATAGGCCGGCTGGAAGATTTATAACTCCGCCCCTTTAATCACATTGTGTTTCTTATATACGTTTTATTTTTCTATACACATAACAGTCACATCTGCCAGTTCTTATAATGTGTAACCATTATCTCCTTCTTTGACTATGTCTGCCCATGACTACACGAGCTCCCACTTTTACCTACTTAAGCTGGCCGTACATGGGGGGGAATTTCTAGTTTTCTGCTGAGAACTTGTTTTACCCCTTTGATTGCCTTTTGTACCAAACATCCTTGGCAGTCCAAAGGTTAATACATTTATTTCTTAAATTAGATGGCGCTGTAGTCTTCCCTCATCATCAGTATGGCAGCCAGTAGATGGCGCTGTAGTCTTCTCTCATCATCAGTATGGCAGCCAGTAGATGGCGCTGTAGTCTTCTCTCATCATCAGTATGGCAGCCAGTAGATGGCGCTGTAGTCTTCTCTCATCATCAGTATGGCAGCCAGTAGATGGCGCTGTAGTCTTCTCTCATCATCAGTATGGTAGCCAGTAGATGGCGCTGTACTGTTACTCAAGGAATTGAGAATAAGGTGAAGCTGACCACCGAGGGGGGAGGGAACCTACATCTGGAGTCCCACCAATAACAATCCGGTGGGCGGTCCTTCATCTCACAAGTCATGCGTTCTCTGAGGCCCGTCACTCACCTGATGGCTGACGCTCGCTTTGCTTTCCATGGTGGAAGTTCTGCGACTCTCTGGCTTGTCTTTAGGAGTCATCGGCCGCGGAAAGCAACTTGCTGATCTCTTGGCCTAGAAAAAAGAAGCTGAATGAATTTAGGGCCCTCAGGGGCCACAGAGAGATAACCCAAATACAGGTGAAGAGGAAACGCCAACAGTAAAATACAACTCGTGGCCCCGAGAACGGACCAAGAGCTGGAGGATCTCATCAGTCAAAATGCAGCGACACTAACTACAGGGAATCTACTGAGACCCGGGAACTCAGCACAGGGATGGTGGGGGCCCCTCATAATGGGCGCAGCAGGTGTACAGACCCGGGAACTCAGCACAGGGATGGTGGGAGCTCCTCATAATGGGCACAGCGGGGGTACAGACCCGGGAACTCAGCACAGGGATGGTGGGAGCTCCTCATAATGGGCACAGCGGGGGTACAGACCCGGGAACTCAGCACAGGGATGGTGGGAGCTCCTCATAATGGGCACAGCGGGGGTACAGACCCGGGAACTCAGCACAGGGATGGTGGGAGCTCCTCATAATGGGCACAGCGGGGGTACAGACCCGGGAACTCAGCACAGGGATGGTGGGAGCTCCTCATAATGGGCACAGCGGGGGTACAGACCCGGGAACTCAGCACAGGGATGGTGGGAGCTCCTCATAATGGGCACAGCGGGGGTACAGACCCGGGAACTCAGCACAGGGATGGTGGGAGCTCCTCATAATGGGCACAGCGGGGGTACAGACCCGGGAACTCAGCACAGGGATGGTGGGAGCTCCTCATAATGGGCACAGCGGGGGTACAGACCCGGGAACTCAGCACAGGGATGGTGGGAGCTCCTCATAATGGGCACAGCGGGGGTACAGACCCGGGAACTCAGCACAGGGATGGTGGGAGCTCCTCATAATGGGCACAGCGGGGGTACAGACCCGGGAACTCAGCACAGGGATGGTGGGAGCTCCTCATAATGGGCACAGCGGGGGTACAGACCCGGGAACTCAGCACAGGGATGGTGGGAGCTCCTCATAATGGGCACAGCGGGGGTACAGACCCGGGAACTCAGCACAGGGATGGTGGGAGCTCCTCATAATGGGCACAGCGGGGGTACAGACCCGGGAACTCAGCACAGGGATGGTGGGAGCTCCTCATAATGGGCACAGCGGGGGTACAGACCCGGGAACTCAGCACAGGGATGGTGGGAGCTCCTCATAATGGGCACAGCGGGGGTACAGACCCGGGAACTCAGCACAGGGATGGTGGGAGCTCCTCATAATGGGCACAGCGGGGGTACAGACCCGGGAACTCAGCACAGGGATGGCGGGAGCTCCTCATAATGGGCACAGCGGGTGTGTAGTTACCTCTGGGGTGTCTGGGCCGTAGTGAGGCTCCTCTGACACCCGTTTCATCTGCTGTCGGGTGGTTCTTCCTCCTGAGAACTGCTCTACCCCAGTGGAGGCGAGCGTCATCCTCCGGGTGCTGGGTTGAGGCTCGTGGAAAAGAATCTCGGAGGGCAGCAACGTGGCTCGTCTTAACGTCTCCCTGGGGTCCCCGGTCTTCATCTCCTCATCGGTTACGGTAGATGATAAAATGGACGGCTGTGGGACGGAAGGAAGAGGAGCGTCACTTGTACGTTTAAAGCTTTGCCCGTATCACAATTTGACAAGTTCACATAAAAGTCATTTTAGGGGACACCTATTAAAGGGGGACTCACTTCTGGGAAAGTTCATCTATTGTACAAAGTCATCACTGACACAAAGCGATGAGAAATCCAGAAGGAGGAAAAGTGAAACCCACCCACCCCCCTGTGACAACGGTCTCTATTTACCCAACTTTGGAGAGATTTCCTTTCACTTCCTATTGTGTCTCTGAAAACAGGAAGTGAAGAAAAGCTCTAGAGAAAAAAAAACAAAAAAAAACCATCACAGGGGTTTTAACAATCCCACGCTCTATTAAAAAGTAGAAGGCAAAGTTTTGGTAGAACTTGAAGATAAAGTAGAAGACAGAAGGGGCCCCCTTTTGAGGCTCCTCAGACAGTCAGGATGGGCCCCCCAATGTGAGATCTTTCTAGACCAGCCACGTACCCGGGACTCCAGAGGATAGCAGGTCTTCAGATGTGGAGGGCAGGCTCGGTTCCGCTGCTGCAGTTCGGCGATTCTGTTCCAGTCGTCTAGAGGCTCCGGTTCGTCGTGGCACGTGGCGGCATAGAAGCTGGTGCGACCTGCAATGACAGCGACGCTCTAATGTTAGTCCGCGCAACAACATCAAACCCTCCTGTGTGCAGTCCCGGACATCTCCCTCACACTTCCATGTCATCAATGCTGCAAGTCGGCCGATGCACTTTCCTCCCGTTATATTATCCACTCCGTCTCTGTGCTGACTTCTTGTTCTCAAAGTCCTTAAAGGAGAACTACGGGGGCAGTGATTTTCCTCATAGTCCTCTTTAGGGTCACGGGACGACATGTACTAACCTCCTCCTGTGACCCAAAGCTCAGTATATAGCGGGCAATAGCCGGCGGTATACTGTGAGGGCCGCAGACGGGACAGATCCCGACATCGAGATCCGCCCAGCTGCGTGAGTGACAGCTGGCTCTGCCTATCTAGAGGCGGAGCCAGCTGTGCCCGCCCCCTCCCCCGTCCGTTCAATCAGGGCTGGAGCATCGGAGAGGGGTGAACCCTGCGGGCAGTGGTGACTGACAGTCACTGCAGGGAGATGATCGGGAAGTGAGCGGATCGGCTGCATGTTTCTGCTCACTTCCCGATCGATAGTGCCGATCTGCTACAGCTTCTTTGTCACAGGTCGGCTCACCTCATAGATCTCCTTTATCTCAAGATCCAAGTTGTAACCTATGAAGGCCTCGTAATACGGGCACCATCACTCGCCTTCCCTTAGTCTTCATCCTACCCACGGTCTTCTCACTCAGGTCTCCAAGCCCCCTCCCCCACGATGCTCCTCTCATCTGTCACTCGCCTAGACATGAAAGAGCCAACCTGGTCTCAGACTTTCTCATCTTCCAAAACATCTCCCATCGGTTCCATGATGAGAACTACAAATGCAGCTTTTCCTTTTTCTCACTCTCTAGCTGCTCATTAGTCACATCCCCCCCCCCCCCATGCTGGTGTAAGGACTTCCCTGAAATAATGCCCTT